CACAGCACTTCATTATTTAGGATTTCCCTTCTCTTTCATTTAGGCTAGGCCTAAGATCATAACTGCTGTTCTTGGCCTAAGGTCGTCTTGTGATTTCTTCAATTCCAAAATTAAATCTCTTTCCCATTCTACCCCTATAGTTAATTCAAATAAAATCTAGGAAACAATTTCCAATCTGAAAATTCATTCAAACACTAATCAAATATCATATTTGATCATATTCTTAGTCTATGTGCATTAATCATATTATTTAACAATAATGCAAATATTATCTAATTAATTCCCTAAAATAGCCCAAAATGCACATCTTAAACCTATTAAAAATATGGTTTATCAGTATATCATGAGGAACTTTTTTACAAGAACAAACTTGACCAGAGACACCTGCTAAATGTTGTTTTATCCTATTTATCCCACCTCCTTTGTAACTTGATGCATAAAAAAGACAGCTAAAGACATTTACTTTCCTCTCTTTCTTGAAGGAAACATATGCCCATGCAGGATTAGTTTTGCCGGGTCCATATGAGAGTGCAGTGCTGTTCGGATTATTGGTAGAACCCGAAGTGGGGTTCAGATTGTCATTTATGGGATTATTGATAGAACTAGAAGTGGGGTTCGGATTCGTGTTTCCTTCAGTATTTGTATCATCCATGATTAATAATCTTAGCACAAACAATCCAACAAAAACTACAAATTAATAAAACACTAAAACAGAGTCACTAACATAATCTTTATCAAATGCTCAGAGCAAGAATTCTGAAGTGTGACATCCAAATTTTAAAGCGTAAACTTTGATAAATGTCCATTTAATAGAAATATTAAACCCAAATCAAAAGCAAAATCATTCAAGAATTAAATTTTTTCATCCTCATTGCAAGAAAAAGCAAGAAAACTGAAACCCAAATCTGAAAAATGGGGGGAAAAAAGAAGCAAACCCATGAGATGGAGGAATGTGAACAGCGATTGAAATCAGAAGGCTGTTGAAGTTTGAATGGCGTCGAGCTCCCTCACTGTGAATGAAGTCACACTAAACTCTAAAGTGAATAGTCACTCAACCATGGTGAAAATAATGGTGACCATCTCTACTCTAAACGGACCTACAATGACGACTAAAATGCGATGAACAAGAAAGACAAGCTAGGCGAAACTGATTTCTATAAGAGAGAAGGTGGGAAAGAAATTAAGCGGGAGTGAGCAAAAGAGAAGTCAGAAGGAAAGGGGGAAAATTTTGTGTTTTAAACATTTAATTGAAAAAGTCAAAAAGACAAAAGCATATTTCAATTTAAAAAGAAAAAAGACAAAAAGCCGAAGTCATTTTAAAACAAGCAAATGTTTTTTTTAAAAAAAAAAAACCCGGTTGACCCAAAAAATCGTTGAGTTAGATGGGTCGTTCCCAGGTCACACCGGTTTAATCTGGGTGATTTCGTGTTATATTAACCCCGGTTCCTATGTACAACCAGATTACCTAGCCGATTTGCCGGTTTTTGGTCTGAACTAACCGGTCCGGTCTGGTTTTTAATATCATGGTTAATATAATCTTTGGTCCCTTAAATTTGTCCTCATTTTGGTTTTGTTCCTTTAAGTTTCAAACATTAGGTTTTGGTCTCTCAAGGGGCAAAACGATCCAAGTTTTTATTAGATTATAGGGAATAATATTTTAAATAAAAAGAAAGTTGAGAGACTAAAACTTCTGATTTGGAATTTGAAGAACTAAAACCAAAATAAGGACAAACTTGAAGAATCAAAATTTGTATTAACCCAATTTTTTATATATAGGCATAAACATCATATATGCAATTTTGTCTACCTATTGTTATTTGAATAATATTTTTATATGTATTTTTTTTTTTTAATGATGCTGCAGACTAGAAGAAGCATAATGGCAAAAGGGGTTGCTGCTACGAAGCGGGAACCGTAGCGTTTAACCAATATAAATTAATGTGTTGTAACATTATTTTAAGTGAATGTATAGATAATAGACTATTGAATCTCATGTCACGTACTTTGATATTGCAGAACTAATCGTTTAGGATGATACATCATATATGTTTGATATTTTGAGCTGTTTGAAATTTTGGATTTCATATTTTATTTATGATAATTTTTATCTGAATGTTTCATAATTGAAATATATTTTATTAAAATAAAACTTGATGCAAAAAATTTTTTAAAAAGAAAGTAGTGCGATAGGTTGGATTGCTAAAATGCTAGTCTGCTAGAAATCAATCCTTTTAGAACCGACCCGCCACCCTTGAACCCGTCATGGGCCACCCCATTTCCAGCTCTAGTCTTGTCTCCATAAAATTTTGTTTTTATTTTGTAGGAAAAATTAATTCTCAAATCCATATGATTTCGCCTCATTTTTAAGTAAGTCCCTATGTCTCTTTTTTGCCAGCCAATTTTAATTCGGCTAAAACTTAGAATCTTGTGTTTTTTTCCAAATGGATTCTACGATAAAAATGAAAATTCTACGTCTAGTTTTATCTTTCATGGCAACAAACATTTTGAAGTCATAATGAAAAAATTATTTTCCTAAATTTTTCAACTTAGTTCTTTTAGCATCGTTACCCATGTGCAGTGGCTAACGGTAAAGTCAGAACTTACAAGCTTAACAATACTGAGAGTAAAATCGAAAGATTTAATTTTAAAAAAAAATATAACGCAGGCACCGAATTAAAAATTTTAAAAAAATATAGGGGCTTGAAAATTGTTTTTTGGGAGAATTTTGCTGAAGGATCGCAAAACACAATTAATGTCAAAGAGCCCCTAAAACTTTCTGAAACTTCACTGCAGGACCAAGGGACCAAATTAAAATTAAAATTTAGAGTGAGATTACAATAATACCCGTCTCTTTTTATTTTATTAAAAAATAAATATTTACCGGAGTTACTGTTCCGGTCACCGGAGGTCAGAGGTCTAGCCACCAGTGGGACCCCTTGGCACACCAAAAGGTTTGCAACCACCAAGCCAAGCAACCCATTCAAACATAAGCTGCAAATAAAAATACATATAACAAAACAAACGCAACTGTTTGAGTGTAAGTGAACAAGTGAAATTTGACGATTTACAAGTGGAATTCAGCAATTTACAATAAAAATTAAGCAATTTACAAATAACATAATCGAAGTCATAACCTCAAATACAAGTGTTTAAGTGCAAATGAATAAGTGAAATTTGAAGATTTACCACAAAAATTTATGGATTTACAACCCAAATTTGGCAAACACAAGAGAATGCACAACCCAAAATGTAAGTGTTTGAGTGTAAATGAACAAGTGAAATTTGACGACTTACAAGTAGAATTCAACAATTTATAACAAAAATTAGGCAATTTATAAATAACATAATCGAAGTCATAACCTCAAATACAAGTGTTTAAATGCAAATAAACAAGTGAAATTTGAATATTTACGATAAAAGTTTATGAATTTACAACCCAAATTTGGCAAACACAGGAGAATTCACAACCCAAAATGTAAGTGTTTGAGTGTAAGTGAACAAGTGAAATTCGACGATTTACAAGTGGAATTCAGCAATTTACAACAAAAATTAGGTAATTTACAAATAACATAATCGAAGTTATAACCCCAAATGCAAGTGTTTAAATACAAATGAGCAAGTGAAATTTAAATATTTACAACAAAAGTTTATAGATTTGCAAGTGAAATTTGATAATTTACAACAAAAATTAAGAAATTTACAAATAATATAATGGAACTCACAATCTTGAATATAAGTGTTTAAATGTAAATGAGCAAATGAAATTCGAAGATTTACAACAAAATTTTATAGATTTGCAAGAGAATTTCACTTGCTCATTTGTACTTAAACACTTGCATTTGAGGTTATGACTTCGATTATGTTATTTGTAGATTGCCTAATTTTTGTTATAAATTGTTGAATTCCACTTGTAAATCGTCAAATTTCACTTGTTCACTTACACTCAAACACTTAAATTTTGGGTTGTGAATTCTCTTGTGTTTGCCAAATTTGGATTGTGAATCCATAAATTTTTATCGTAAATCTTCAAATTTCACTTGCTCATTTGCACTTAAACACTTGCATTTGGGATTATGACTTCTATTATGTTATTTGTAGATTATCTAATTTTTGTTGTAAATTGTTGAATTTCATATGTAAATTGTCTAATTTCACTTGTTCACTTACACTCAAACAGTTGCGTTTGTTTTGTTATATGTATTTTTATTTGCATTTTATGTTTGAATGGGTTGCTTGGCTTGATAGTTGTAAACCTTTTGGTGTGCCAAGGGGTCATGGGTTCAAACCCTCCCTTGGCCACCTTGTTTTAAACAAAAAAAATTTCGGCCATCGGAGGCCGACTAGAGCTACTGTTCCTGCCACCGGTGGCCAGACCCCCGGCGGCGGCTACCTGAGCACTGGTGGCCGGAACAGTAACTCCGGTAAATATTTATTTTTTAATAAAATAAAAAGAGAGGGGTATTGTTGTAATCTCATTCTAAATTTTAATTTTAATTTGGTCCTTTGGTCCTGCAGTGAGGTTTCAGAAAGTTTTGGAGGCTCTTTGACATTAATTATGTTCTGCGGTCCTTGAGTGAAATTCTCCCTTTTTTTTTCCCCTAAATATCATTTTGTTGGGTCCAAAATGTCATTTCCTCTAAGCTGAGCTCCAAAGAGCTGTTACAGTTAAAAAAAAAAAAAAAAAGACACCCGCACGCATCTCCCATGCATCTCTCACATCTCTCTCTCTCTCTCTCTCTCTCTCTCTCTCTGCAATTCATTGGATGGTGTTTAGCGAGGTGCGTACGGTGTCGTGCTTGCCCCCACTCACCATTAAGTCCACAAAAGGAAAGAAAACGAAATAAGCTTAGTTCGCCCACCCCATAACTAGCAATTAACGTTATTTCTCAAAAAAGTTCGTTTCCTCCTCTTCCCACCTGCCTCTCTCTCTCTTTCTCCTCTCTGGGTTTGTTCTCTCCTAGACTATTGATAGGTGGGGTTCATCGCACCTGCGGCTAAGCTTTCTCTTCAACTAGGGTTAATTCCAGATTCTTGGTGAGCATCTTCCTCTTTCTTGCCATCTTTCGTTTCCTCTTTTAGACACTGATACTTCAAACCAACTATTTTCCTCCTTTTCTTTTCCTGTAACATTCCCCTTCTCTTTCTCTTTCTCTTTCTCTTCTCTTCCCTTTCTTCATTTTCCTCCTCTTCTTGTTTAATCCCCAACACTTTGGTGTTTTACAGTAACATTCCTCAATCGTTTGCTTGTTCTGATTGGAAGCCCTGACCCAAGAACAATTTGTGTGTGTTGCTTAATGGATCTGATATTGATTTTCTACTTCGATTTGAGAGATAATGAGCCGCCTCCTTTCCTTTAACTGGTCGGAAACTAAATGTTTCGCTCTTTTAGTTACGAAAGATTCAGTAATTTTTATTTTCAGTCTGAATCTATCATATTTATTGATTATTAATGAATTGTTTTCCTTATTTTCGCCCCTGACTTTTGGGTCTATTTTTGCTTGATAAGGAAATGACAAGACAGAGGATAGAAATAAAGAAGATCGATAACATAACTGCGAGGCAAGTGACATTTTCAAAGAGAAGGAGAGGGCTATTCAAGAAGGCTCTAGAACTCTCGACTCTCTGTGATGCTGAGATTGCTCTCATAGTCTTTTCTTCCACTGGGAAGCTCTTCGAATATGCTAGCTCAAGGTCTCTCTCTTTCTCTCTTCGTTTTAATTTTCCCTTTCATCTTTATATATATTCTCACAGGTATTTTCGATCTATCTGCAACTCGTTGATGGTCGAAAGCTTTTGCCCGGTAATTATTGTTTAATTTTCGCACGTACCTGCAAGATTCGTAATCATGTACTTGTGCTTATTATTTTAATTTTATTTTAAGCTCATTGATCTAGACAAACGTACAGAAGAATGACCACGAACGTGCTAGCTTAGAGAATCTCACTGTTTCTATCAAACACTTTTCTGAGAAAATAATAATGATAATCTTGGCTGACTTGCCGTACTTCGCTTTTTGATTTTCTAAAACTTCGACCTCTTAGTTTATGATTCTTGAATGTTTACCCTTTATAAATGTACATCTTATTTTTTGCATCCTAACAAAGAAAAATGGCTTTAGAAACTTATCACTTATTGTTTTGATATGTAACTGCAAAGAAGATACCAACACGATGACATGTTATAGTTCATTTCATTTCCAATATGGATATATATATATATATCTTCATTGCCTTATTATAGATCATTCCCCGTATATAAGGCTCTAGACAAGGGGATGTTTTGTTTTGAATTAGACCTTTTGACGACTTAGGCAAAGGAAAGGATTAGTTCATTTAGCTTGCTTGACTGGGAAAAAATGGTGCTTAGGGTAAAATATCTGATTTGAGAACATGATTAGTTTTCAGAACAAAACGCACTTTCTGGGTGTTCATTTAGAGGCTTTATATCAGTTAACGCAAAAGGCTATTTTCCGTAATGGCAATGTAACACAACGCATTAGGTTTTTCCTCTTTCTTTGATTTGCGAGATTAGTATTTCAATTTCTAATCTCTTTCAATCCTCTAGAGGACCCTCGGATACATAACATCACATCAATATATGTGTGAAGTTCAAATTTATATATTTGCATGTGTATTATAGGCATTTGACATGCGTCCACACATGCAAAACTACTAAAACTTGCTAAGGATGAAATCTATCCTGGTTATCAAAATTTGTTCCCTTGCTTACTAGGTACAAAAAAAATTGACTTTTAGCGGTGACAAAATGTCACTGCTGAAAATATAAAAGCTGCCACCTATAGCGACTATGGCTGAAAAGTTTCAGTGGCGACAAAAAAAGGTCGCCACTGAAAGTGATGCCAGAGGAAAATGGCTTTCCAAATATTTTCTATTTAAATGTGTCTTCTTCAATATTTGAACTCATGACCACTATTTTTTCTGTCCAATTTTTTTGCTGTTGAGTTGAATTGAATTTGCTAGTTATTATTTTAAAATGAAATATATATTATCATATTATATTATACGTTTAATACGTTTAATAAAGTTTATAAGAGGTTTATATTAGTAGCATAGGAAGTGCAGGAAAATACAAAAAGGAAAAAGAGTGAATGAAGTTCAAAATATTTAAGAAATGAAGCAAAATCCTGAAACTACTTATGAGATATGGGAGGTCACCCAAACTTATGTTGATAATCTAAAAAACGCGCCATTGAACTATAACATAGGAGACATAATAATTTTCTTGTCTAAGAGTAATGGTCAGATTCGACACACTAACCAAATACGAAACTCTTCATTCCTGCGGAGCACTAAGTTTGACAATTTATAGTTATCCCTTTTAGAGTTGTATTCATCATCTTAAATCCATTTATAATCATGAACGAATTCTTTTAAGTTCTTTGCCCCTGTCAGTTAGAAACGAATTTTCCACAAAACCTAAATGAATTTGCGCATTTGTTATTAAGTGTTTCAATCGGATATAAGTCAATATATTTGTTGTATTTCAAAATGTTATTCTTCCACATTATCTTGTATATCCGGCTTCTTTACCCCATCTTTCTCTATAAATAACCTGTAGTTTAATAATTAATCCCCATGTAGAGTAGTGTCTGCGTCATTTTTCTTTTAACTTTTCATTCAACAACAACAACAACAAGCCTTATCCCACTAGGTGGGGTCGGCTACATGAATCACACGACGCCATCGTGCTCTGTCAACAACCCAATCCTTAGATATGTTGTTGATTAGGAGGTCTCGTTCAATGACCTCATTCAGCGTTCTTCTCGGTCTTCCCCTGCCTCTTTTTATGGGACTCCATCTTGTTTGATCCACCCTCCTCACCGGGGCCTCCAAAGGCCTTCTCTGCACATGTCCAAACCATCTTAAGCGATTTTCAACCATTTTCTTTGGATAGGTGCCACACCGACTCTTGTCCTGATCTTTTCATTTCGAATCCTATCTTTTCTTGTATGACCACACATCCATCTCAACATCCTCATTTCTGCTACTCCGACTTTGTGCTCTTGTTTTCCCTTTATTGCCCAACATTCACTACCATACATCATAGCTGGTCTTATAGCAGTCCGATAAAATTTTCCTTTAAGTTTCTCAGGTACCTTCTTATCGCAAATAACTCCGGTAGCTTTCCTCCACTTTAACCAGCCAGCTTGTATTCTATGAGAAATGTCTCCATCAATTTCCCCATCCTCCTGTATAATGGATCCTAGGTATTTAAACTTTGATACTTGAGGAATAATTTGCTCTCCCATCCTCACCTCCAAATCCCTATTACCTTGCCTCCCTCCAAAATCACAATGCATATATTCTTTTGTTTCTGCTCAAACGGAAACCTTTCGACTCCAAAGTCCTTCTCCATAACTCCAAACTAGTGTTAATCTCTTCTTTTGATTCGCCATAAGAACTATATCATCCGCGAAGAGCATGGACTTAGGGATTCTTTCTTGAACAGGTTCAGTTAGAACATCCAGAACAATGTTGAACAAGTACGGACTCAGAGAGGATCCCTGATGTAGGCCAATCTTAATAGGAAAGTCCTTTGTCTCCCCCCAGGCGTCCTTACACTGGTAGTTACCGCCTCATACATATCTTGTATGACTTTGATATACGCAACCCGTACACCTTTCTTTTCCAAAGCCTTCCACAATACTTCTCTTGGCACACGATCATAAGCCTTTTCCAGGTCAATAAAAACCATATGTAAATCTCTTCTTTTACTTCTATATCTTTCCATTAACCCCTTAGTAAATAGATTGCTTCCGATGTGGATCTCCCTGGCATAAATCCAAATTGGTTTTCCGAAATAGAAGTCTCCAACCTCAATCTATATTCCATCACTTTTTCCCACAACTTCATTGTATGACTCATAAGTTTTATCCCTGTAGCTTGCACAGTTTTGAATGTCTCCTTTATTCTTGTAAATAGGAACTAAAATGCTTCTCCTCCAATCATCCGGCATATTTTTAGAGCGTAGAATTTCATTAAAAAGCTTGGTTAGCCACACCTCCCCTCATCGCCCAAACATTTCCAAACTTCAATAGGGATACCATCAGGCCCAACGGCTTTTCCATTGTCCATTTTCTTGAGAGCCGCCTTAACCTCTCCGATACGTATCCTGCGGTAGAAAGCCAAATTCCGATCATCTTCGTTAATTAGCAAGTCCTGCAAGTCCTGAGTCGCATAATTGCTTCCCTCATTAAACAACTTGTAAAAGTAAGCCTCCCATCTGTCCTTAATATCACCATCAGTAACTAACACTTTACCATCTTCATCCTTTATACACTTTACTTGATCCAGATCTCTCTTTTTCCTCTCTCTTTGCTTCGCGATCTTGTAAATATTTCTTTCTCCCGTCTTTGTTCCTAACTCCTGATAAAACCCTTCATAAGCTTTAGTACGTGCTTCGCTCACTGCTCTCTTTGTCTCTTTTTTAGCCAACTGATACTTTTCCCGTTCTCTACACTATTGCACAAGTGTATGGCCTTAAAACAATCTTTTTTCTGTTTGACTTTCTCTTGCACACTCTTATTCCACCACCAAGTCTCCTTATCTCTTTGACCAGGACCTTTGGATTCTCCCAAAATTGCTTTAGCTACCAAACGAACCCTTGTAGCTATCTCTTCCCACATCATGTTTGCATTTCCCTGCAACTCCCAATTCCCTTCCTTCAAAAGAGTCCTTTTGAATAACTCCCGCTTTTTCCCTTTTAACTGCCACCACTTAATCCCGGTTTTGCCACTTGATGGTACTTTTGCCTGGTACTCTTAAAACGTACATCAAGGATAAGTACTCTATGTTGGGCACTCACCCCGTCTCCTGGAATCACTTTGCAGTTAGTACACAATCTTCTGTCCGGATTCTTAACCAAAAAGAAATCAATCTGTGATTTTGAGACACCACTTTTGTACGTGATTAAATGCTCCTCTCGCTTCTTAAAACAAATGTTGACAATCTTAAGATTGTATGCAAGAGAAAAATCAAGAATAGATTGTCCTCCACTATTAAGCTCCCCAAAACCAAAACCACCATGGGCCCCGCTGAATTGTCCTATTTCCTTACCAACATGTCCATTAAGGTCCCCACCGATAAAATTTTTTTCTTCGAGTGGTATGCTTTGAACCAAGCCCTCCATATCTTCCCAAAACTTATCTTTAAGGTGTGTCTCTGCCCCAACCTGAGGTGCATAGGCACTAATGATATTGATAGTATCCTTTTCAACAATTACTCTTAACGATATTATTCTGTCCTCAAATCTTTTAACCTCTACCACGTTTTTTTTTCAAGTCCCATCAGCGATGATACCAACCCCATTCCTTGCGATAACGCGATAACGCAAAAAATACAAGGATATTTCTGCCATTTTATCATAAAGACGCAATAACGCAAGCTATTTCCATAATTTCTCCATGACTGGTTTGAGGAGTGGTTGTAATTGTCCCCTTTCAGTTAAAAAAAAGTATCAAAGCCATTAATCCAACCTGAGGAAGAAAAGAAGTAAAAAGTGTCGCAGTTAAAGTCATGGAATTAATTAGCAAGAGAGAATAATCAGGCTACTACTTGTAGTTGTCATCGAGTAAGTTTGGCATCGTAATTAATGAACCATAGAATGAAAATCAGAGTCACTTGCATATGATTGCATTTATAATCTTTTAACGTGCAACCTTTATGTTTACTTCTCATTTGATTTTTTTTTTTTGGAGGTTACAACTCATTTGATGATTTTAGTCACGCAAAGAAATTCATCAATAAAGAATGATTTTAGGGGCTGATATAATAATACTACCTCTAGTCTCTAATATAAGAGCTAGTAGGGGAATTGAATATGGTTATAAATATAAGACCCCAATCCATTCCCTTTTTTATTTATCCAAATTAACCCTATTAATTGCGCGTCTCCTATGGAAGTTTGCATTAATGGATAGTTTCAATGCAAATCATTTAAGAAGATATTTTAGAAAAATCAACACATATTTTTGACAAATAACTAATTTAATTATGTCTTAATCTATCCAAATTAATTAAGTAGATCTTATATTAAGAACCGGGGATGGTATATCATTTTATACTTGGGGGTTCAAGTTCTCTAATACCCCTTCTCTTTTTCATCCCATACTGCGTACAGTGTGTAGTTTGCAGAATAAATTTTGAACCATCTGTCTTTTTCCTTATTATAGTGTGCCGCAGGTTATTGAAAGATATGATCAGCACTCACAAATTGAGAGATTATATCATTCATCTGTTTTGGTAAGATCATTATGCATATTTTTTTTACCTGAAACTGACTTCGTCTAAATATATGCTTCGCAATCCTTTTGCTCCATTTTCTTCCTCCTTTAAGTATTATAAACTAGCCTGAGTTATGCGACACTTATTCCATATCTCATGAATAGTACAACTTATAAGATCTTTTATATTATATATAGATATTTAGATTGTTCTTGTTGAATTGTCCTTGTCTCAGTACATTGGTTCCGTTCCCTTTGATTTTAATAACTTTATCCCTTAGCCCTCTTCAACTTGATTATTTGTTTAATTACCCAAATTTTCCCCTTTTCCATGTTTATATAACTAGAAAGGACGAAATATTTAGATTCCTAGCTCATAGCCCCAAGCTACAACAGGATCCAAATGAGGTGATATCAAATGAGACCTATGAATAAATAAATAAAAAGCTTCAAGTTCGCGAACAATGTGAATAATAATAGTAATAAAATATTATGTACGAAACTAATAAGACTCAGGAATTGAGGTATGAAATACAAATGTGTGTGCGCGCGCGCATGTACGCTGAGGCTTTTATTTTGTGCCTCCTCTATGCATAGACTTATATTGCATTACTAAGGGGATGACTATACCTTATAATTATATTGAAAGGCAGTTGAAGGGAGAAGAGCTTGAAGGATTGAACAGAAATGAATCATAGAAGCTTGAGGAACAAATAAAAAGAGGTTTGAGCCGTGTTGTCAAAGCAAAGGTTTGCACTTTTGTTAAAAAAAAAATTGATGTTACTTGGGCTAAACATGAGGAAGTTGCTGGGTAAGCTAATTACATATGAGGGATGTGTGGGAAAAAGCTTTTTTAAGCTCTGTGGAGTAGCTTACCCCAAAAAAAAAAAAAAGGAGAGAAGCCAAAAATAGTTTTTTTTCTCCCCAGCAAAATCTTAATGTGATCTTCTTCCAACAATTCAAGTGTTAAACTTAACTAAAATATCTTTTTTCTTTAATTTTAAACAAATTGGTCCATAACAAGTCCTGAATAGTTCCTGTTGCTTATGCGGTGGCAGTATTATTGATTATATGTTTGGAAAGTAATTAAGCTGCTTATGCGGTTGACTTAGCTATTATTAAGACGAAAATGCTTGTCTAATCATTTTATTATTCTTTCTCATTACAAAAAAGTGCCCTGGCTCCAACTTTTTAAAGATTTAACTGCAGCAAGAACTTAACTATGATTTCTCAAACTACAATGAATCATCTGGAACTAATGGTTTGACCATGATTCTGTATAACTGAGTTAAAATTAAGCTTAACTCCGGTTGTTAAATATAGCCAATAAACCTAAGCTTCCCTCCAAATTTTCATAAAGCACAGATAGCACAACTCACTTCAGACTTTTCAAATGCATGGGGCTGGCTTTAGTTAAATATATAAGATATAATTTCAATAATACGGCACCTGAGAATTTCTCCTCCTTATATACATGCCTTCACATATAGTTTGAAATGAAATAAGTCTCTACCTCATAGAATGCAGAATAAATAAAAACGGACGAAAATTTTAGTGAAAGAGAGAAGATTGTGTACACACACGCGCGCGCGCACACTTCACGTTTGCTTCACCTGAAATTCAATACTAATGAATCATAATTGTTATGTATAGTATGACAGGGACACTTTCAGCAAGCTCAGCAAGGAAGAAGCCAATAGGGCTCAGGAACTGAAGTATGTGTGTATGTGTGTGTGTGTGTGTGTGTATTTTACGTGCTATTACATATATAGAGAGTGAAGTTTTTATTTTGTGCCTTCTCTATGCATAGACCTGCACTGTTGTATAACTGAGGGATGGCTATGTCTTGTAATTTGAAGGCAGTTGAAGGGAGAAGAGCTTGAAGGATTGAACATAAATGAATTACAGAAGCTTGAAGAGCAATTAGAAAAAGGTTTGAAACGTGTTGTCGGAGCAAAGGTTTGAATTGTCTTGTCCACTTCTATGTTGCATATTTATTTGTGTACTATAGAGGAAAGCTTTAGCGATTGTTTTATTGGGGCCACTTTGCTGATATCGAGAAATTATTATAACTAATCTGCATGGATGGTTTTTTTTTGTGATTTGCAGGATGACATAATGTTGAAAGAGATCGATGCGCTCAAGAGAAAGGTCAAGCACATTCCAAACTTAATTTTTGAAATCTTACATCTTTTTGTTTAGTTATAACTTGAAGCTTGGGAAAAAAAAGAGAGAATTATCATCGTCAAACATTCTTTCCCTTTCCCATCCTCCTTAATCCATTCATACAGGGAGAATCTGAATCATTAACATGCAGGGTTTGGGAAAAAAAAAAAAATTCTACATGATTCTTCTATTTAATATTTGATACAATAAAAGAATTCATTAAAATATGCACTATGGACTAAAGAATAGCAAGTCTAAGACATCTATGGATTGAATTGAGTATTCCTTGCCTGTGTTTGTATCTTCATATTTAATCCGTAAGTATTAAAACTACATATCTAGCTTTTAGGTTCCCTCACTTGTCTGAAAATGCTGCTTTTTTTATCTGCAGAGATCCAATTGGTGGAAGAGAATCAGCGATTAAATCAGTGATCGGAATTTTGAAGTGTTTTTTCATTGTAAACCGTTAAATTTCTGTGTTTCTAATGTTTATAGCATCGAACTAGCTAGGACATTGATTTAAATTTTATTGCCCTGTTAACGGATGATCCTCAGTTGAATGGGTCATTATTGAATTAGTTTATCTAAGTTGTATACATA